GCATGACGTCCTCAACGGGGTAGGTACAGCTTGCGATTTTGAGAAAACGACGCACCTGCAGCATTTACAGCTAGCTCAACATCTGCCGCTGTTGAATCGGGACAGAGGGAGTAAACCTTGGGATACATGCGAAAGACCAAGGTGTTTCGTGAAATGGTTACCGGTCGAGAAGCTCCGATTCCTAGATATCCATCACTCACTTTGCCAGTCGCTGGCTCATAATTATCCAGGAACTTTCCATCGAGAGGCGGTCTCAACTCGCCATCGATAAAGTTTAGAATCTTGTTTAGGGAGCTATCGTAATGCGCCGCGACGGGGTTGGTGTGGCTGCTGCCGTTTGCAGAAGGCATCCGGAGAGCAGCGATAAGCGTCGTTTATGTGTAATGGGGAAAGGATGATGATTTGTGGTGGAGGGGGAACGGGAGTCACAGCGGGTGGTTTGAAGGCATCAGGCCACAGGCAGCACCAACGTTATGCGCTTTGAGACCAAGAGCTATCGCTTCTATCATGTTCTGCTACTGCTCATGGCATCCGCATCGAGCAACTTCGCAGCTCGCGTCACGGCTACCAGTAGCTGCCCCGATCAATGTGTGAGGGACATCGCAAAAGTCGCAGGCCTCGCCGTCTCTTGTGCAGTGGTTCTCGCCGGTCTCCCTTCTTCTGCAGCCGCTGTCCCTGGAGTGTGTCTAACAGCGCTGACAGACCTGGGACTGGTCTACACCTCAGTGTTACCTGGCCAAACTTGTGCGGGTTGTTTCAACCGGACGTCCAGGTACGAAAGGGACATGAGAGCACAATGTCCCATGTTACTCGTGAGTTGAGTGAAGTGCACTGAGGTGCTTGGCAGGTGTGGACGGGCAACAAACGAACGTATTTGGTCTTCAGAAAGTTTGGGACGCCGCGGGAGAGCACGTCCCAGTCCTCGATATGGCGCCTATTCTCGATTTTTGCGGACGAGCAGATCATTCAAGAATGCCACCATGTCGTCTGGGCTATGAACTAGACACTGGGCTCTGCTACGAGCAATGTGAGCAAGGATACACGGGAGTCGGGCCAGGTGGGTTCATATCGCAAGCTCCTGACTTGTTTGTCGACATGTGTATGCTTCTGTATGCTTCTGTATGCTCTTTTTGCGGAACAGTTTGCTGGCAACATTGTCCTGAAGGATTCTCTGGGGCAGGAGCGCTCTGTTCGCAACCAATCGAGATCGAGGACAAGAGATGGTGAGTGTTGTGGAAGTTGGAAAAGTATCGGTTCCTCTCTGTTGAAAATCTGAAGCGAATATCGGGCATTGCAAAATCAAGCTGCTGTGTCCTGCAAGTTGGAGGTGGCGACAATGGATGTTGCAGGGATAGGTGTTTGGAAGGATGGACTGACGACGGGTGCACGTGCAGGAAACCAGGTGAAACCATTGCGCGAATGACTAAAGGAAGAGGTGTCGGTGAGGCTGTGTGGTCGTACTACTAGTGTCATTCTGTATTTCGAGGGTGTACCACGGGCATTATTTTGTCAATGCGCTGCAGGTTGTTTTCATGGCCCGTGATCGTTCTGATCATGCCACCCCTTCGCCACATAATCAAATCAAATATTTGAAGGGCACTGAGATCAAAATTGAACCAAATTCACGTTGAGACGACGTTGTGCACGGAAGTGTTGTGTTACCGTGATATTCGGGGTTGACCACAGCCCTATGAGCTGGTACATACAGCTAGTTCATGGCATGTTTTCCAGGCTAAGTACAATCAATATACACTGGGTGTCGCCTGGACTCATGGAACCGTCACGGTCATTCCACAGACGATCAGACAAAAGTGGAGCAACAATCGAATCCAACTATCAAGAAAGAGCAACCAAGGAAGCAAAAGTCTTCCGACACCGCGGGAGAGGCTGCACAGGTTGGCAAAACGGATTGAGCGAGGAGGGATTTGAACCCTCGATCTTCTACTTAGGAGGCAGACGCCTTGTCCACTTGGCCACACGCCCAAAATGTCACCGTGAACAAGCGTAAAAAAAAATATAAAAATTTGTACAGTGTAAATTATGGATCTCATGCGCAAGTGCAGCACCGACAGGAGCGACTCCCCAGTCCCCAGTCTTGCAATTATCCTTGGTAATCCTAGCAGACCCTCTCTGATTCTGGGATTTTCCACTTTCCGACTCTCCTTTTGGAGGAGAGGACACAGAGCGGGATGTGATATGCGATCAATGGCCATCTTGTTCCCGCAGGACATACCCACCTTGGGGAATTGGAATTTGTTGGCACACCAAAGTTTGCAAACATCATCATGAAGCGTGTTGACCAAGTCTTTACCCCCGATAGTCCACCTTTTCGAAGATTGGGTCGAGAATTTCAGTGCCTCGTGGCCTTAGACCACTTGTCTTGTAGAGTCTCCGAATACAATCTAGTTTTCTCATCTTTTATACTGTTCACGTGCACTCATTGCATACGTAATCTAAGTACATTTGCCCGTGTGAACTCACTATTGCCCTCGCCATGCTTAATCTCTCGCCGTTGGACTCAGTGTCCAGCACAGTCAGTGGTATCACTGTCACATCTAACACCTTGGATCTCTCTCTTTTAAAATTGGTAAGGGGAAATCTTTTATATGAATTTTTATTGACGAATATTCTCTGGTGTACTATACTACGGGAAGTTAGTTGTCGTTTGGATAGAACCTACTTGCGGGCCTGTGTGCAAAATCAAACAGTGATACAGTTGCCCAAGTGCTCCTCCATACATAGGGTAAGTCAATATACTCACCTTGAGCGCCGCGTCAACCACCTTCATACAGGCCAACACCTTCTCTTCGTTGTACCTCCTGCCAACAACCTGCACTCCTACCGGAACGTTTTCCAACTTTTCTGGATCATAGTGATCCCAAACTTTCTGTTCCCACTCATTCCTTGGCACGTAGTCAGCTGGCTTGGTGTCTGAGAGACTTGTTCGTGTTACGGGAATGATTCCAGCAGGAAGGTCAATGAAATTGAAAAGGAAAGCTACACAATTACATACAGGAAGTTAACAAAGATCATGTGTGCGATCAATTTTGACTTTGAATTCATACGTACTGTAAAGAATTGCACCAATGGTGTCAGACGACCCGTTGTGCTGCGTGACGGTCACAAAAAGAATCATCAGCCGATTATATCTATGGAAAAAAATCAAGCGCAAAGCTTTAATCACCAGACACGAAGGAATTGCGACGGTCGGGCAGACAAAAAAGTCAATGCCGAGGGCATTCATTTGACCGAGATACTTTTCTTTGAGCACCTCTCGAACAACGACACGTTTCCTTTTCAGCAAGCGATAAGGTGAACTCGAAATAAGTTGATAAGTGACACACAACACCCACCAAATCGCCCCCATTCCCGTGTCCGGTGGTGGGTATGTTTTAGCGTAGGACATTGCAGGGTGGAGACCTTCACCACCCTGGGTGGGACCAATCGTCTCAAAGAAGATGTCATTGTATGAGGAGAAAATATCAAGCTGCGAGAGAGTTATAGATGGTACAATCAGAACAGAGCATTGACTGTATTCCATTGTTTCGAAAATAGAATTGGTTACTCACTACCGCGTTGACCGCTTCTTCAGTATCTGGGGGCTGGAACTGGACGATCTCGTGACCTGCCGCTTTCAATGCAGCAACGGTTTCGAGAACTGCACGTTCGACGGGAGGAGTTGGCTGTTGCAGAAATGGGCCAAATAAATATAGTTTCAACTCTTATATATCAAATCTTTTATTATCGTGAATAACACGCGCTAACAACTCACCCGGACCACTCCAGCGTCCGTGAAATATCCGATTTTTAGCTTGGTCGGAATCGTCACATCTGCCATATGCGGAAGTAACACTCAGTCCTCTACCACACGATCGTGCGCGGAAAGAGCAAACGCAATTATGGCGCCACTCACCTCTCCAACCTAAGGGAATCATATTGGGATCCATCTCCGCTCCCACTGGATCAGCAAATACTTTGCAGTACAGATCCTATTCGATAGCACGGTGAGCGTCGAACCTTGGGTTCAAAATGGTGCCAAGCGTGAAGTCCTTACCAAGTCCTCGACACTCCGCCCCATGGGACCATGTGTGGGTACGATCGCGTCTGGAGAACCCTCGATCAAAACTCGAGAACCGTTGTACGGGAAGCGGCGGGCAGAAGGCTTGAGGCCATACTGGTACGAGAGACGAAAATTGACAAATGGTGTATCAAGATCAGGACTTTGGTCAGTACTCACGATTCCGTTGATGGAGGATGGAAGACGAATGCTTCCACCTGGGGGAAGCGAGATGTTACGGAATGGCACTATCGTCAGTCGGGTCTGCATTCAACACACAACGTACCAATATCCGTGCCCACTCCCAGAAAACTTCCACCCGCCGCAATGAGAGCACCTTCTCCGCCCGAAGATCCTCCGGCGCCGGCTGCGGTGTTGTTGGGGTTTAAGACGTGACCCCATACGGCGTTCGCAGACTCCCAAGTCATGAGAGCTTGCGGGACGTTGGTCTGGGAATGGTCGACATGTCCATCAAGTCGAAATATATCGTTCGGGTGAAAGATATTGAGAGACCACAAACCTTTGCGTACAGCACAGCGCCGGAGTCCTAGTACAGAAACCAAGCGGAAGCGTCAACTTATAGACTTAATACGCGATTAGCTTCGCATCCGTCGCTCACAAGCAGCCTCGTTACCACGGCTGAATCGTTCTCTGCCGGACCGTCCTTTGCCCACTGGACAAACCCCCACGTGGTCAAAGTACCCTTCATGGCGTGTTCCTCCTTGATAGATACGGGAAGACCGTGAAGAGGGCCTCACAAGGTAATGCGATGGTGATGGTAAGCGTACCGTAGCCGGCTGGTCGGTGAAACCGTGCAACTCACCTTTGGTCTTGCCAGTGGTCTTAAAATACTCGTCGAGCTCCGCGGCGCGAGTGAGAGCTACGTCGAAGAAAATCTACCGTTTCAGAATGCTCATGTCAGCTGTGAGCGCCTGGTTCAATTAGGACGTCTGGCTTGCCACTTCCGTGCACTCACCTCGGTAAGACAGTTGGTGAGCTGGTGAGCCAGGGCAGCACGGTGGCATATTGCTTTAGTGACTTCCACGGATGAAACCTCACCGGACAAAAGGTACTAAACGTTCCATATGGAGCAAAGCGACACCGTCAGCCTTCATGTTCCCGAGTAATTCAGCGAAAGTACCACGAGCAGTTGTACCTTGACAGCCTCAGAGGCTGTCCATCCCGTGATTTCTCTTTCGCGTAATGTAAGCTTGGACTCGATGAACGGAACGACTTCGAGGGGCCCGGGTGCATTTTCACCTTCGGCCAATCGCCACTCTGGAGGAATGGCGGCGGCTCGCTTGGCGCGAACTTGGGCCACGATGGGATGGACTTGATCAACAGTGCTCATGGCGGAACGTAACAGGATTTCCGGACGGTTGGGAGACGGCGCGAAGTCATTGATTGGGAAGAAATGAATGATGTTCGAGGACCCTGTGTGTCCCTGCCCGGCTAATCGGCTGCCAAATCAACCGCTATTCAAATCGCCCATCATGTGGCAAAAGGTACGATGTTCACTTTCATCGGTGATGGTCATAGGGTATTGCTTTACTCCCGACAAAGAGATGTCTTCAGGTAGAACTTCCGGCTTCGCCGATACAGTTTGATGGAGCTCTCTCGATGACAATCGCGGTGCGTTTATAATTATATAATCGATTACGATGTCCTAGTTCGCGAGAGGAAACCCCTTGTATTGCCTATTAATTCGTGGCATGTAATCACTCTACGATAGTGAGTCAGCAGGTCCGATAAATATCCTCTTCAATAAGTTGACTTGATTGCGGTGCCTGCACGGTACTTGTTTGATTGATGACCGGCAACCGACATCAACGCCCCACTTCAGCGCATAAAAGTAGCACATAGTACCAATACATACGCATTCCACTGTGTACTTGATCCGGCGCTGAAGGAGGAACTCCACCTGCTGCGTGTGTGCTCTTTACGCCAAGCTGCAGATGGTGAGACGTCAACTAAGTATGCAAACTACAGATCACAGATCACCCACCCATTCGAAATAAATCACCGTGAGGTAAATGAAAATGTATGGAGTGCCAGATGTCAGTGTAAAATGATCAGGGTCTGATTCTTGCCCCATTGCTTTTAACCATGCGTGCGCGGAAATAAGTGGTTTCATCTTCTGACAAATGCCCTTTATCTTTAGTGACAGTGGGACAGCACTTTGTGAGTATTCACCCGAGGCGATGCGTTCCTGACTTGCGAACTGAAAGGGAAGGTTTGGCCACAGCACGGTTTTGCCGGACATCCTAGAACACCAAGAAATCCAGACAAAATGATTCGAAATCTCCTGAAAACCATGGCCAAAGAAGCATTCAGTCTTGAATCGCCTTCTTCTGTCACTCGCCCGCCTCTCTCCTGCCCTCTTGAGTCCCTTCCCCTCGAACTTATCCATCGAATCCTCCGCTTCCTTCCACCAACAACCTTCTTCTCGACCATCCCCCGACTCTCTCGAACAATCCGCCAATGCGCTCTAGGCGCCATTCCTGGATGTCCCGGGAGAGAAGTGGTGATGGATTGCGAGCTCCGAGTGGTCACCGGTCCGTACCGCGACTTCATTGGGGAGATCAACGTTTTAGACCGATTTTGCGAGGTTCGACCGGCGGGGTGTCCATCTGTTTGGACAGCATTGTGGGCATCGTGGTATCTGGACGTCACCATTGACGATCTGGTGGCGGCCGAGACTGAGGTGGAGTTGGAGCAGCTCGTGGGACGACGACTGCGAAGGGAGGTGGCCCTGAGCGCAACGAAAGCAAAGGCAACAACCCACGCATCGACGGCAAGGATCTTCTCTCGCACCCCCGACGTGCACGTGCTTTCAAGGCCTTCCCGTCTCACCGCCGACTCTTTGGATGCCCTTCAAGGACTGCGACTGGCGGCGCAAAAGGTCTGTGTTGTGTTCGGCTACGTG